AAAAAACATCGAAGGGGGGGGGGGGTTGGAGTAGGTTCTACTTTCTGATCACAGTACAATGTTTCTCCCTGACTGCGGTTCTTCCCCATTCTACGGTGTCTTAGTGTACGCTAGAATGGAAATGAGAAGTTGATTTACATTCTCTACCCTAGGTTCCTCAGGATATCACTGGTACAATATCCAGATTAAGTGTTTTTATAATTAGAAGTGGGGTTGCCGGTTGATCATGCCAAAAAATTGAAGAAATTTGTTTCGTTCGATTAACATTAGAGATCCTTGAGACCATCGGCCATCCACACTTTCACAGCTTTGTATTAATATGTGCAGTTGACTTGTCAAAAATACTGAGGAAAACCCTTAGAAACTGGGCACCCCATGCTCCTCGCTTACTCTCAAGTTTAACAGCCTCATCTCATTTCAGTCACTTGTCTCTTTCCCGTTTCAGGCTGCGGCTGAGCTGCGTTGTATATATCTCGTTTTACTTTTTGCTCGCTACTTCCTCGCTGCTGGTGGTGACCCGGCCTGGCTGCAAGGAATTCAAGAGGCTCCTGTTAAATGGCGTCAATTGCTCAGTTTGAATCGCGATTTAGCTGAGAAACCTTGGCTTGTAACATCTGTGAGTGTTTTTGTCTACTTTTGTTAAAAGTCAGTTAGCAGATTTCGTCTGTACCATCCATACCATCAATCATTTTTTTCTGAATCCTTTTACTCCCTTCTTGCGGATGCTGGTGCGTATAGGCTTTTAGAAGTGCGTCTTCTATTTCCCGTCATCTGCTCCACTTGTTGCATTTTATCTAGGATCGTGTGTACAGCTTAACCCATCGCGGCGACTCTGCCTCATCTAGGGAGACCCTGTCGTTATCCGAGCTCATGCATGCAGTGGCCATCATGACGCATGTTCATGCGTTAACCAGTTTTATTTTTGGTTGCGGTATCTTGCCGGAGATCGACCAAAACGAGCAAGTGTTCTATCAGCTGGATCCTGTACAGCCAAATGGTCTACCAGATTCAAATATTCTCTCTTCCGGCAGCAATTATATGGCCGAAGGAACAACACCCAGAAATGGTCTCTCAGATGGTCCCGATACAGTAGTAAGTCCGTGTACAGTTTATTTACCTTGAATCTGATAGTTCACTCATGGGTTTTACTTATGCACCGGTTAACTGACGATTCACGTTCCAATCTCTTTTCCTCATGGTGTTTGTTAGTAGTAGTTGTAAACAGTATGCTCGGCCGTGGATATCTCGGGTTGAGGTGGGTCACCTCGCGAAATGCTCTCATACAACCAAACGTCTCAAATAGCCTCTGCTGAGGAGACCTCACTCGGTGCCTTCCTATGGCGGAGGTGTGGAAGTCTGTAAATGATCCATAGACAAAGCAAGAAAAAAGGTGCCAAAAGATTCGTCAGAGTTGATGTCTCTCTTCTTTCAAATAGGGTCCGAAAAAATCCCAACCGGTACGTTGGAGACTGTAGCTGACATCGCAGCGAACCGACAGCAGTCTCGTTTTTGTCTTCATTTCTTAATAGGCCTGGATGTTTGAAAAAGTGTGCTTGCTTAATTGGGCTATATGCTACGTGTATTGGTCATAGGTATTCACTTGCCCCTATTCCTCAAAACAGACCCACTCCCTAACTATAGCACATTCTTATCTACTTTGCATTCAATATGATCTTGACACCGGTCGGTGATTGCACTTCACTGTATTCTGCTGTAGTATAATACTATTAATGGAAGGGTAAATTTTTCGCATACACGAATTTTTCTTTCAGTGTAACACGTTTGCAGTTTATCTGAAATTCATCCCCCGGATATGCCTTGGGCTTTAAATTAACCATACACCTCTTCGCGATCTGTTTTACTACATGCACTGAAATTTGAATAGTTTCATTCTGTGTATTCTCTTAACTTGAAGGTGCTATGCGTGACGTCATTCCCCAGGGAAGTTTGCCTTTCTGTCCTTAAGTACTGTGTCGAAACGATGCATTATTCACGACCTGTGACCGGATACTTGCTTTATTTCCTCTCCTCCACCATGTTTCTTGTTTGTCCCGCCATGGCTCCTGTTCTTCTTCACAGGGTTCTCTAAATTCTTACTCCAGTCGTCGAACGTCAACTGTCAAGAACGACTCTGGAGATCAGGAACTAACTGCCACACAATTGTTACATCTCATTCAAACTGAAGACGCCCATTGGGTGGAGGTTTCCGAAGATATGGTGGCCGAACAATTCATCGCGGTAACTCAGTTGAATGTACAGTGTACGTGCATCTCGTTTCGATGTTCCCTTTAACTATGTGCTTTCACTTGGGAATATTCTGTTGCGTAGTATACAAGAGCCTCAGTATGATCGGAGTGGGTATCTTGGGTTCTGTGTTGTATTATTCAACACGTAACCAATTACAGAACTGACAAGTGTGTTACAACATTGAACAAAAAATGTAGAATGTGTTTATGCGTTGTGTGGGCATGTTATTTCCCGGTTGCTCTAATCGAGGAAGGGGGATAACCTCGGGGTCCCCACCAGAAGCCTTTGGCTAGAAAGCCAAAACTGTAAGAAAACAGGATGGAGCTCAGGGTCCGCAGTCCATTGGAGGCCGATGTCCAGTTCATTGGATCATACGCCCTTTGGACGGGATCAAACGTCCAAGGTGCCCGATACACCTCGATGCTCAATCAAGCCGGTTAACACTGCCACAACCGAGGTGTGGGTGTGGTTCGTATGCCTCTTCTTGGTTGGTTTGGAATCAACTGACCTGGGTGAACTGCAAATGGTCCATCAACCCGGTTATAGCCCCGGATATCGGCTTTTCGTCCACTCACTCTGGTGGGAAAAAAATTCCGCCACGAGAAGGCAGTGAGTATGTTTTCCTCAGCAGAGGATATTTGAGACGCTTACTCATATAGGAGCATTTCACGAGGTGTAAGGGAATCGTGACCAGTCACAACCTGAGACACCCACCCCAACCATATTGAGGCCTCCCGACTAGTTTGCAACCAATGGT